GCAGTAGGCAGCGCGTAAGTCTCATAATCTTAAGGTCGTGAGTTCGATCCTCACCCGGGGCAACTTTAAGTTTTTTTATTATATAAATATTTTATTATTTATTATAAATAATAAATATCAATATTAATTTACATATTTTCCTTTATTAAGTTTTATTATTATTAATGCTTATAATTTATTAAAATATTCAATATTGAAATAAAAAAAGTAAAAATATAATAAAAATTAAATATTTATATACTTAATTTATACATTCAAAAAAAATGATATATGATTATATATAATAATATATTTATATTTTTTTATTATCCAAATATAAATTAAAAAATAAAATTATTTATTTTCTTTTTCTTCTAACTTCATTTGGATTTTTTTGCATCCAATATTTAACAGGATTTTTTGCTCTTATGCCCAACATAGCTGATTTTGAATATACATCACGCATAATAAATGGAGAATATTCAGCTATATTATCATCTTGTAAAGGATTATTTTTAGTACGTGCTAATCGTGTTGGTCTTTGATCTGGAATTGGTTGATCTTCACAAAGAATGGGATTGTTTGCATGTTTGCCACCTTTTGGCATAGGTAATGAGAACTAAAAATATATAAAATATAAAATAAAATCTATAGAATGTTATTATTAATATTAATACATATAAAAATTTATGTATTAATTAACAAAAATAAAAAAAAATTAATCATACTCTTTTTCCTTTTTTTGAAATTGGTTTTCGGAAATTAATATGAATTTTTTGTTTTCCTTCTTCATTCAATGTAATTGCAACTCTTTTTAATGTTTTATTACCGCAACTAGGACAAAAAATTTTCGTCATAATACTAGTAGTTTTATAACATGCATAACATCTAAGAATATATGTTTGCATTTGTTTAATTATTTTTCCATCTAATGCAACTACATTTAATCCTATTTGTTTTAAAACATTTTGCATAGCAAAATCCATTGTTAAACAAGCAACAATTACAGATTTTTGTTCAAGAAAATTTGAATCAAGTTCTTTCTTTATATTATAAATATTTCCTGAAATAAAAAGAATATTTTTTTTTCATTCATATAATTATTTTTATTTATTTATTTATTTTTATATGAAATTACTAAAAAACATTTTACCAGGTGTAATCCAACTACTATCATCATCATCATCATCATCATCAACATCATCATCACCACCACTATCACCATCATTATCATCATCATCATCACCATCATCATCATCATCAATTTTATTATTTTCATATTCATTATTCTTATTATTATTTTTATTATCATTATTATTTTTTATTGGAATAAGAATACCATCAACATTATGTTTAATATTATTTTTATTTTGAACAACAAATTTTGAAAATTTGATAGATAAATTTTCTATTCTGTCTTGATTTATATCAGAATATACTGTTTTATAATCAATATCAGTAGAAGATTCACTATAATTTGATTCAATTTTATCTTCTTTTTTTTCTTCATGATTAATATTCTTTATATTATTCTCAAAATTGGTTTCTATTTTTTCTTTATTATTTTCTTCATTAAGAGATTTCTAAATATTACAAAATTTAATTTAATTTAATTATTATATTAATATCATTTAATAAATTTATCAATAAATTATATCAATGGAAATATTTACTTTTATTTTTAATTTTTTTTCTGGGATATAAAAACCAACTAAAGATGTATGAAAATCCACAGCTTTTTCAATATTAGAGTTTATAGTTTGTGCAATTATTGGCTCTGTTCTTAAATGATTAATTCCTACTTTTTCTTTTTCTAACTGATATGTTAATGCAATTATTTTTATATCAGTTGCTGATAAACTAGTATAATCACCAGTTTTTTTAGCAAATTCTGTAACTATAAATAATATAAATAAATATATTATATTTATATATATTAAAATAT